TATAATATGAATAAATATATAATTTATTCATATTATATGCAATGATTTTAGATAATCATTGCATATAATATGAATAAATATATAATTTATTAATCTCACATATCCTAATTAATTAAAAAAAAATATAACTAATAATTAAGTTAAATAGTTTATTAAAATCATTAACAACTTTATTATCTATAAAACAAAATAAATATAACTTTATTTTTATGTAACTCACATAAACATTTTAAGAATTGTTATACATATACTCTTTTATAATTAAATATAATAATATAAAAATAATTAATAAATTAATGATAATTTTAACAATCCTCATTAATATTGATGTATAACTAAAATTAGTTGATGATTTTCAATTAATATCAATTACTATTAAATAATATGTATTAATAATTTTTTTTAAAGTTTAATATGGTGTATTTGTATTTATTTTGAGGGATGACCTATTGAATTGTAAAATTTGGTGACGTGAATATTAAGTTGTCAACCGATACTTTTCTCTAGTAACCTGGTGATCCATCATTATTTTCTTCCTTTATATAATTTGAAACTTTGATTTACCGGTGTTTGTTGGTTAAAACTTAATTCAATCAAATGGATGATTGAATTAGATTGGATACTTTGATTAAAAGTTGATTACCTGCAACCCCAACCGGTCTCATATGGAACCCCCTTCCAAGCACACCAATATAAGGAGCTATTTTATGGTTCATAATAGGATTTTAATATTCTTTAACATTCGGATCAGATAGGATCCATCCAATTTCATCCAAATTTGCTAACAATTAATTAACCATTTCAATCAATTATTCGTATATTTTCTTATTTTTTTTAAAAAAAAATTGCAAACAAATATCAAATACAAAATATTGCTATTATAGATTGTAGTTGAATTGGAATGTATCGGTTTTATTGGATGTTGCATTGTTATAAAAAAACAGTCTCATCCAATTTTGATGATGACTTTTTTGATCCAATGCGATCCCATTATAATTTGATATCCGATTTTGTTTGGTCCGTTCTAATTTAAATCCATCATAATTAATTCGATCGGATAATCTTTTCCACATCCACTCTACTAAATTCTACACGATCAACAATAGTTAGTCATGATGGCTAAAAAATTAAAAAATTGAAATTTTGTTACATATTGAGAAGAAAAAAAAAATTATTACATTAAAACAAACTTGGTTGCATTTTTATACATTTCTCAACTATAATCTACAAGTTTGACTCCTTTAACAATAAAATAAAGGACAAATTGTTTGAAAAAAATAATGTACTTTAACTTGATTCATATTTTGGATAACGTACTTTCAAGATTTCATTTTTGGTACCTAAGATGTAAGATATTGAACATTTAAGTATTCGGGTAACTGGTTGAAGCATTAATCGGTTGCCATGCTGATGTGGCGAGTGATGTGGTATCTAACTCAATATTATTTGCTATTCAACCCAATTTCATCCCATCACTTTTCATTTTAAAACTGATTTGGTCAAAAAATTTGGATTTAAATCATATATAAAAGTATAATTTTTTAACTAATGTAGTTAGTTAAATTTCTTTTTATATCTTATCTATTAGTTAAAAGTATATCGAGTAAACTCTAATAAAATGGATTAAGGCCCAGTAAAATTGAATAAAACCCAATAAAATGAATTAAGGCCCAATAAAACCGAATACAGCCAATAAATGAATACGCGAGGGATAAGCCAAAAACCAGTTCCCTCGCAGATCCATCGTTGATCATCGGCGGATTAGTGATGGAACTTGTTCTTGGCCCATCCGTCGTTGATCTGCTAGAGATCTGCGAGGGATGGTCCAAAAACCAGTTCCCTCGCTAAACCGTCGCTGATCAGTAAGGAATCTACAAGGAAAATTGTTTTTGGCCTATCCGTTGCTGATCTACGACATATTTTTTCCGTCACTGATACTTTATTTTCTAGTAGTGACTTAGATTTTGATTTTTATGTTTTTGTGGCTTTTGAAATTTATAAATCTCTTTGCTTCTAGAGTTGAGTCCACCTTGCATCCCTTATCTCTCATTTGTCTGCTTTGGACCAACGATTGACTGCGAGCGAGAGAGAGAGAGTTGAGTGATGCAAGTTTCTTCAAGTAAAAATCGAATAGAAGCAGCTTGCAATGTGGCGTGATTGAGAGAGAGAGAGAGAGAGAAAGAGGATTGATGCAATGCAATGTGATGTAGGTACCTTTGTTTGAATCAATTTCTTAAGTAATGCAGAATTTTTTTATCAACAAATTCAGAGACTTGTGAAAGGTGTGTTCAAAAGAAAGAAAAGGCTGAAACATTTTATCGGCGAGAGCTGAATTTAGGAGAAATAAGAGTTATACAAAAAAGAATGATATGAAGTTACTAAATGGGAAGAAGAAATGCTTAAACAAGGGAGGAAGAAAGTGAAACTCGAAGTTTCAATTTGGATGGTCTTGGTGATGGAGTATTAAGAAGTTGTACGCTATGCTTTCTTACTTGTAATTCAGAGTTTTTATTTTGAATTATATGCATAAAATGGTTGTACGCTATGTTTTATGACTTGTCTTTAAGGGTTTTTATGTAAATGTATTATAAGATAATATAGATATGAGATATATTTGATGTCATACAATAATTGGTATGATATATATATATACATATATATATATATATATAATATTGTATTTTGTTTATTGTTTTTAAATGGAAATTAGTGATCAGGGACCACTTTCAGAACAAAATAAGAATCACAGTAATTGATTTGGTTAAAAAAATTGCATTTAAATTAGATATTAAAGTATAATTTTTAACTGATGTACTTATTTAAATTTCTTTTTATATCTTATCTATTAGTTAAAATTATATTGAGTAAACTCTAATTTTGGTTTTAGTGAAAAGTTTGAAATGTGAAACCTAAATTTTGATAACTCTAAAAATTATTTTTGTAGTTTTTATTTTGTTTTGAAAATAATCTTTGATCACTAATTTCCTTAAAAAATGTTCGTTAAATAAAAAATAATTTTTTTCTTTTACCTTTATTACTACCTTTTCTTTTAAAAACATCAAATAAATTTAAAAACTCAGTTTAAATCTTTATGCTGGCAAAACCCCAAACCCACCACCGCCATTACCCTCCGGTTTCCGGCGACCATCCCCTTCTGTTCCCTATCTGTTACTGAAGCCTCCGCCATCTCCCTCATCAATAATTTATAGATTTATCAAAGTTTAAGGTACTGATTTAGACATTTCCATTTTCAGACTGTTTGTTTTTTTAGTTTTAAAGAAGAGCTTAAATGATATTTCCTTCCTTTGAATTTTTAAGTGATAAACCTATCACTTAATACCACTTAAATCAACTCTTTCTCGCGAGTGGCCCGTCCCATCTTACAATGATCCATGATTCTCTTCACGACCAACACAATACATAGTCAAAATCTGAAGGCGACGAAAAAGATCACCATCACCTGCTGATATCCCAATCTCCTCTTCTATGAATCTCATGATAAAATTGTAATTGGCGGATTAAATTCAGATTCCATGATACAACTAATTTCAACTCCACCCACCATAAGGAAAACTCTGAATTTATTTTGTTATTTGACTAAAACCTTGAAAGAAAGAAATACAAATCCATGTTGAAACAATTAATTGCTATAACCAATATGACTGATTTAGATTTCAGACTTCAGACATAAAAACAAACAGTCTGACTAATTCTTATTTCAGACTTTAACACCTCTTAAAAACAAACGCTACCTAAGTTTCGTTTTCACTAAGCCTCAAGTACCAAATTAGAGTCATACTCATTTATATTTTTATCTTTTATGTAATTATATAATATTTTTGTATATTAATTATTTTTATATCATATTATTTAATATTTTTTTTCTTTAATTTTCACTTAATTAAAACAAAATATTATTTAAGTTGAAGAATTTTATTGAACTAATATTTTTGAAAAGATATAATATTTTACGACAAAATCTGAATTTCAAATTTTCTTTAATTATTTTGTTCATTATATTTAGAAGATATATGTTTGTGTCACCAAATTTTAGTGGTTAAAAGAAAGGAACAAATTTTAAAAAAGAAGAAATCAAATTTGTTATAAGAATAAAAAGTGATTTGAGTGGTCAAATTTGTTATAATAATGAAAGATAATTTGAGAGACCAGACCATATCTCTTATAAAATGAAACGTAACTTGAGGAAACAAATCCATTATTGAAAATGAAAGTTGAAGAAGAGGAAGGTGAATTGAATTATTAACTATCATAAAGGTCGTTATTGCCACGTCCCAGTAACATGTAACAGAAATTTAACTGAAAGAGTTAATAGCAAAGACCATATTTGTTATAAAGTTGTAACATATAACAGAAATTTAACTGAAAGAGTTAATAACAAAGACCATATCTGTTATAAAATTGAAACTATAAAGAAATTCTTCATTAATTTATGTATCAAAAGGACTAAATTTGCATTCTAAATCTAAAAGTTATTAACGTCAAAAAATGGTCGTGAAAAGAAAGGCATGATAATGATAATGTGAATTATATGAAGAATATAGCCGTTGGAGATGGGTCTCGTTCCTTCTTCCTTGGTCAAAACCCTAATCAGTGACCATGAGTTTTATATTCTCATGACTGGAATCAGTGACCATAATTTCTCACTAGCCGTTGCCCTTCGGTCCTCAACGTAAACCAGAGGCATCTACCCCCTTTTGTCTTCAACCCTAAAATAATACTCACATCATCTCCTTCTCTCTATTAAATATCCCCTCTTTCATTGTTCCACTTTCCATGAACTCTCTCTCTCTCTCTCTCTCTCTCACTTGGGCTTCAAAGATTGATGTCTTAGTTTTGATGTTTCGAAAATCCGGTTCTTCTTTTTGATCGATAATTACATATCAGTTTTAGTTTCTGATCAATTCAAGTATTGGGTTACGATTGGAGAAGGAAAAAAGGAACATTGTCAAGAATTAAGCAACGATTTTCATATTTATTTTATACAGATAACGAATACCCAGAGTTTTGTTGTTTGATTTTTGGTGGTTCTCTTCATGGAAATTCAAACTGGCTCTTTGAGTCATTTTCACAAACGGTTCGAGTACATAAATGAGCTAAAATGTGTTTTTGCCTGCAGGAATTCAGCCAACAATAGAGAAGAACCAAGGGTTTATTCATTTCACAGTGCATTCTTTTTGCTTACTATTCTTTTGATTCTCTGTTCTCATCTTGTTTCAGTGAAAGCTTCCAACGAGGTGATTGCCGTCACACTTTCAGATTATTCGGCTCTCCAAGCGATCAAGCAAGAGCTTGTCGATTTCAGAGGAGTCTTGAGGACCTGGAAGGACAGAAATGGAGTTTGTTCAGGTGGATGGGTAGGGATCAAGTGTGATCAAGGTCAAGTCATCGCCATACAGCTTCCATGGAAGAGATTAGGTGGAAAGATCTCATCGAAGATGGGGAATCTTCAATCGCTACGAAGAATCAGCCTCCACGACAACCTACTTTCCGGTCCAATTCCACAATCTGTATGGTTATTACCTAATCTAAGAGGTGTTTATCTCTTCAACAACCTTCTTTCAGGTTCGATCCCGCCATCTATTAGCCAATGCCCATCTTTGCAGAGCCTTGATCTGAGCAACAATCAGCTCAATGGTGGCATCCCTCACATTCTCTCTAATTCCAGTAAGATTTATAGATTTAACCTTAGCCACAATGCCTTTTCTGGTTTCATACCACCAACTCTTGGCCTTTTGCCTTCACTCACATTTCTAGCTCTAGAACACAACAATCTCTCTGGTTCCATTCCAAACACCTGGGGTCTGGGTAGAGTTGACAGTAATCACACTTATCAACTCAAATCTTTGACTCTTGATCATAATTTTCTCATTGGAAGGATTCCAACTTCTTTGAGCAAGATGGGTAATCTTGAAAAGATTGATCTTGGTCATAATCACATTGATGGCATCATACCCGACGAATTTGCTACTCTCTCTAAGCTTCAAGTCTTGGATTTGTCAAACAATGGCATCAACGGGAGCTTTCCTCCTTTTACTTCTAATCTTTCAGTTCTGATATTGGATAACAACAGATTGACTGGCCCAATTCCTGATACAGTTGGGAATCTTTCTTCTCTCACTCAACTCAGCTTATCCCACAACAATTTCAGTGATGAAATTCCTAAAACAGTTGCTGATTTGAAGAATCTTGTTTTTTTGAATGTTTCCTATAATGCCCTTTCGGGGAGTGTTCCTTCCTCCCTTCTGAAGAAGTTCAATTCAAGCTCCTTTGTCGGTAATGTTCAGTTATGTGGGTACAGCATTTCCACTCCATGCCCTTCTTCATCCTCATCTTCGCCTTCGCCTTCTCAAGTTCTTCCTTCACCAAACAAGAAACAAGAAAACCGAAAACTTAGTACCAAAGATATCATCCTCATAGCAGCCGGAGCCCTTTTGCTAGTCCTGCTTCTTTTGTGTTGTTTACTTCTCTGCTGCTTAATCCGAAAGAAATCAGCAAGATCAAAGTCTAAGAAGGCCAAAACCGACATTTCCATGCCAATACCAGCAACAGCAGCAGGGGCTGAAGTTGTTGAATCAGGAGAAACTGGTGGGAAATTGGTACATTTTTCAGGCACTTCTGTGTTCACTGCTGATGATTTGTTATGTGCAACTGCTGAAATAATGGGAAAGAGCACATATGGAACCTCATATAAGGCAACATTAGAAGATGGTAACATGGTTGCAGTCAAAAGACTAAGAGAAAAAGTCACCAAGGCTCAGAAAGAGTTCGAAGCCGAAGTTTCTGAGCTGGGAAAGATTCGACACCCAAACATCTTGGCTCTTAGAGCCTATTACTTGGGACCTAAAGGAGAGAAGCTTCTGGTGTTCGATTACATGCCTCATGGCAGTCTTGCTTCCTTCCTCCATGGTATATTTGCTTGAAACTTTTGATTACATTTCCAAGTACCCTTTAGCATTTTTAGCTCACATTCATGAGTGTCTGATATGTTTTTTGTTTGTTTTGAAATCTTTTTACAGCCCGTGGCCCTGAAACCGTGATAAATTGGCCAACAAGATTGAACATAATTGTGGGTATAGCTAGAGGACTTGTTTTCCTTCATACCCAAGAGAGCATAGTCCATGGGAACCTGACTTCAAGCAACGTGTTATTAGACGAGCAGAAGAACCCTGCGATTGCGGACGTGGGTCTATCCAGGCTCATGACAAATGCAGCCAACACGAATGTGGTTGCGACCGCAGGGACTTTAGGATACAGAGCCCCAGAATTCTCAAAGCTCAAGAATGCAAACACAAAGACCGATGTTTACAGCCTTGGTGTGATCATGTTGGAGCTGTTGACCGGAAAATCGCCTAGCGAGGCGGCAGATGGCCTGGACTTGCCGCAGTGGGTGGCGTCGATTGTGAAGGAAGAGTGGACAAATGAAGTTTTTGATTTGGAACTTATGGGGGATCCGGCGAATGTTGGAAGTGATGAGCTGCTTAGTACTCTGAAACTGGCTATGCATTGTGTGGATCCTTCACCGGAAGAAAGGCCGGAAGCTCTTCAAGTGGTCGAAAAACTCGAGGAAATAAGGCCGGAGGTGGTAGCTGCTCAGACTTCTGATAATGCCGGCGGTGTGGCTGCAGCAGCTACAGAGGCTACCGGAGTTGCATCAAAAAGCGACTAAAGGATTTCTATTGTGGATTTATATGGTCAAAAACACTCATTCTTTTGTAATATATATAGATAGATATGATTTATTTGATAAGCTTTAAAGTGTGTAGATGTGTTTATAGAGATTGAATTTGTTGATTCTTTTGGTAATAAGAAATGCATATAGCTTTTATTCATACATTATAAGACACCATTTATAAAGAATGGTCACTTTTGCTAATTTAGAAGGGGGGCATTGCTATTTTTACTGTCTACTGAGTCTTGATTACCGGGAATTTGAACTCTTAAATCAATCAAAAAAATAAACTTAGAGAGATGAGCTATTATGCAATCCTTTATAATTGTACAACCAATACAACTCAATCTCAACTGTCCATTTAATTTGATGAATATGTGATTTCATAAAAGTTTTGATTGTTTTCTAATATAAAGTATTGATCATAATTAATGAACTATAATCATCTTTCATAAATATTAAAATCATAATAAATGAAATTCTAATTATTTCCATAAATATCTTAATTGATTGAGTTGCATTAGTTGTACAAATAGACATGATTGCATTTAAAATATACCCTATATATAGAGGACGTTTCAAATGCAACTCCTCACATTTGTTCAACCGATGCAACCCAATCAATTGAGATCTTTATGGAAATGATGAGAGTTCATTTATTATGATTTGATTATTTATGTAATATGACTAGGGTTCATTAATTATGATCAACATTTTTATATTAAAAAACAATCAAAACTTTTATGAAATCACATATTCATCAAATTAAATGGACAATTGAGATTGAGTTGTATTGGTTGTATAAATGTAAAGGGTTGCATAATAACTCATCTCTCTCTCTCTCTCTCCCTCTGTCTCTCTCTATAAATAGGGGTGTGTATATATATATATATATATATATATATATATAAGCCCATTCAAGAAAGAACTAACTAGTTTGTGGTAACCGTGAGATCCAATCTCAACCACAAATCAACGGATAAATTAGGAAATTAGTAATTATGATTTGGAAGGAGTACCATATAAGCTTTTATGATTTTAAACATTACCAATTTACCCTTTATGTTATTTTATGATATAACATTAATTATTTAAATGATTGGCTCACATTGGACCTCACAGTTACTACAAACTATTTAGTTCTCATTTGATTAGGTAACTGTGAGGTCCAATGTAAGCCAATCATTTAAATAATTAATGTTATATCCTAAAATAATATAAAGGGTAAATTGGTAACGTTTATAATCATAAAACCCTATATGGTACTTCTTCCAAACAATAGAGGGTCCCCATATACTCTCATCGACTTCTTCTCCAGCCACCCTCCCCGTCATAGCCAACATCTACCTCTTCCTTATCTTCTCCCTTTCCTTTCTCACTTTTGAAGCATCCCTGTCTTACAAGCTTTAAATGGTTTCCTGTGTTTTTTTGGCAACAATGGTGGAAGCGGTGGTGGTAGTTGCCGTGAAGAGGAGGTGGTCGTTGTGAAAGATGCATTGGTGGTTATGGAGGCGGTAGATACGGAGGAGCCATAAGCACCATTTTGTGGCTTTCTCTCAAGTTTGATACACCGACCCCTTTGCCCATCACCACCCGATAGATGGCTTCTTCCAATCGGGTAAAACAACCCAGATCAGTCTCGGTTTCAAGTTTCTATACACCTAGATCTGCTTTGGTTTATGGTTTCTACACAGATCGGGTTTAGATCCGAGCTGTAACCAAGATTCGCCGGAGATGTAGCACAGATGTCGCCGAAGATATAAACCAGATCTTGTCGGAGATGTAACTCCGAAGATGTTCCACTCCTTTTTATTCTTTATATTTCCTCTGTGTACAAATATTTCTATTTTTCTTGCATCATGGTAAATGTAACCCAAAAATGGGTGCAAAATGATTACAAAGATGTAAGACCAATAGAGATCACATGGAAAATGAGTTTCCAAGTTTTACCATCAATTTATGTTTTTTGTATATATGTCTAACACATAGCAATCTATCTTTCTTGACAGTCTTCTCATCATACAAATTTATTGTAGTTATTTGTCTGCATTAAAATATTGATACAATCCTTTTCTGTGGAAAGTTGGTATCATAATGGAACCCCAATTGGTAGTACATTGGGTATCACAATGCATCTTGTATGTATTTTGGGTATCACAACGTGGATCGTCTATATGTATCTCTTAAACTTAGATTATGGATTTGATTTTGTTTTTAAGGTTTGAGTTGGTATCATAGTTGGTATCACAATGATATCACAGTATATCACAATGGGTATCACAGTAGATCACAATGGGTATCTTTGTGATTACTTAGTACCTGCCAGAATAATGTTCATTGGAGGCTGGAGATTGGAGGTCGGAGAGAGGACTTTTTAAAAAATACCTAAAATGCCCTCTAATTATAATATTAACTCAAACTACCATAATTACTAATTTTCTAATTTATCCGTTGATTTGTGGTTGAGATTGGATCTCACGGTTACCACAAACTAGTCAGTTCTTCCTTGAATGAGCCCCTATATATGTATGTATATATGTGATTTTTCCCCTTATCCTTTTGGATGGTTTTTGAGGAAAGAGTTAAGAGAGAAAATATATGTATTTTTGCTTCCTAGGTCAAGCAAACAAAAGAGAAGGAGAAGAAGTTGATACGTGACTTTATTTGATCATTGTGGCTGTTCAAAGGTCTTCATTTAATTGTGATTAAGTTGAGTTTTACTTTAACAAACATCATTTGATATGTTTTTGGTGAAGAAACCATATGGTTTCATACACGAGTTTTGAATATGTTATATGCTATTTTTAGCATAATTTTGTGTTTTGATATGTGATTATCAATTGGTTGGAATAAGAGTGGCATAATCAAGAGAGACGTATATTAGGATAAGAGTGACATAATCAGGAGAGACATATTTTAAGATAAGAATGACATAATCAAGAGAAACATATATTGAGATAAGAGTGACAAAACCTTCTGTATGTTAAAAATGGAACTTTGATCTTATGGAAACTGTTATTGCATTTTCATGATGCGATGAGTGCGATTTATCACATCTGTATGATGCAATGAGTTGGTTTTTATCACATTCTTGTAATGCGAGTATAAATGTTATTGCATCCTGTGATGCGAGGAATGGGGTTATCGATCAGTGTGATGCGACAAGATGAGATTATTGCACCAGTGTGATGCAAAAAATTGAGGTAGTCGCATCTAGGTGATGCGAGGAAATGTGATATCTCATCTAAATATGATGCGATAAAAATATAATCGCATCAAGAGATGCGACAAGTTGGTATCTTTTATGCAATAACTTTGGTACTTCATGAGTTGGTGCGATACGAATGAGGTTATCTCGTCTATATGATGCAAACTCATTAGACTGATAAGATTTAATTATCACATGTTTGAGACTTACAATCTTCAAAATTTTAAAATGCCTCTCTTTATGACTTCTCTTTTTTACTCAGAAACAAATTATATTGTACTTTGAATGCTGCAATTTCCTTGAGAAAAGTGACATTCACATAATCAAGAATTCATGTCTCATGACCCAACTTCAATATATTTGAGAATTTATACTTCAAGAATCAGTATCAACTTTTTCATTGTCTTCCTTTTGAACAATCTATGTAGGCTATGGTACTTCTGTTTGAATAGTCTGAATATGCTCTGGTCGACTTGGTTCTATTTCTTGTTCAATAGTAGTTTCAACTTGGGCTGCAGTCTGAAGTATAACTTCTTGTTGTTAATCAATGAGCTTCATTTTATTCACTAATACAAATAACTCATCAGCGATAAACACATCTAGGGGAAATGCTTTCTTTGAATTACAATTATTCAGACACGATTTAGAACATTCTTTAACAAGCTCTCTAAGTATCAATATCTCTTAAATCCTTTTCATAAACTCTTCCTTCAACACTTTATCACCATAGGTTATTATCTTGATTTGATCAAACAACCATTTCATAGTAGAAGAATAAAACTTTGGAATTTTAGAGAATCTTAATCACTGAGTTCTTGCAACATTTGGATCTGAATAAGTATATCCAAGCTCTGAATCACTTATAAATCCTCTAATAAACATGGAACCATCTTCACAGTTTGTTCTCAACCTTTTTCATGTTGGTCTTCTTTAGATTATTCTAAATTGCAATTTGAAAATCAAACAATGCAAAGTTCCTAACAAAGATTCCCATAACCCTTTTGATTTCAAACTCAAATGTAGGCTCTTCAACGTTTTCAAAGTATCTTAGTAAGAACAACTGATCATGCAATAGAAATTTGTAGTAGTAATCAAATATGTTGACCCATCCTTTCTTAGAACTGTTATCACCTTACATTCCACCAAATCAAAATTCTTCTTTCCAAAGATTTCAATTAAGCTTTCACTATTCAATCTTTCTCTGCTATGTCTGAATCTTGTCAAAGTCTTTGAAAACATCATCTGATAATATTCAGTCCAAGATCCATCAATTATTTGCTCAACCAAAACATGCGTTTCATTTTCATTTTCATCAATATATAGATATGGGTTTATGCCAAAAGTTAGTTTATAGAAATAACTTACGTTCGCTGTGGAGATTTAACAAATAAAAATTGTATTATTTGGTAAACACACGATAATCGCGAGAAAATAAATAAGACATATGAATTTGGTGACGCAGAAAACCCCTGTCGAGGGTAAAAACCGCGGATGACACTTAAGATCGTCAATTGACTAGCGATGTGAAACAGGGACGTCGTCTTTTGTATGATAATTATCGTAAATACAAATATTATAATATGATCGCAAGTAAAGAATTGTGAGTTTGCTTGAGAACGTCGAGAGTGCTTCGAGTGAACTTCGTATGTTGCCTGTGTAATTTGTATACAGCTTATGTGTCTCCTTTGAGGTGAGCTTCGTTTATATAGGATTTGTTTTTGTAAATGTGTATTTATAAGCTTGATATCAACAATGGTCTCTATCTTTAATGGTCTTGAATGTTTTTCTTCATTTAGATACAAGAAAACCTACATTAAACACTATAGAACGTTGTTTGTCGAAAGTTAGTGGCGACAAACGTAAGAAACATACAGTCCCCATTAACTAGTGATGGCCAATAATATGAGTATCTTCCGTCATACATTTAATCATATGATTATCATTAATAGTGATGACTGTTAGTCTCAACGTATTTGGTCTAGAGTTCTTATCCATGATGTATACTTGGTCGTTAGTTTCTAAAATTTGTCGTGACTGAGAGAATTTTTACTCGAACAATCTACATAACTGCCTTCTGGAAACACCAAGTAATATGATTTCATTTGGTTCCTCAAACATAAATTCCTTGTAAAAGATATGATCCAACAAAGGTTCATTGAGCTCTGAAAATACAATTCTAGGAATGAGAATTGGGTTTGTGTATTCTCTGATAATCACATCATCCTCATTTTTTCCAAATACATGCATGCATGGATCAAGAAATCAGATAAACACAAGGGTTAAAGTTGGGAATGCAACATTTAACACAATGGTGGCTATAAAAGGTCGTCCTTGTCATATGTTGCAACTCACTCGTATTGAAAGAACTTATGAATGATAGTTTCTTAGGAAAAATCGGCGTCACTATCTGAAGAACTATCTGAATACTTCATATTTGAAAGAGTACATTCTTATCTTAGTCTTTCAGCTATTAGCAAATTTGTCACCACTCAAATTGATTAGGATTAAAAGTTTAACCTTTTTAGATTCCACAACAAATCTCTAATTCTTTGTTTAGTTACAAAAATAGAATTAAAAGTGAAAAATTGTTGGTGTTTGTATTCAATCCCAATTCTATAAATACATTGTGTGTAAATCATTATATCGCAGGACCAACAGATATAAATAATATATAATAGGGAAATTAACATAAATAGCCATTTTTAGGGAGCAAGTTCTTCTGTTAGTCATTTCTCTCTAGAATCACCGAAATATCACTACCTCCGCAAGTAGCACTTCTGTGACTTGTGAAGGAACTAAAATACAAAAAAAAAAATCAATTTTCACCCAGGTCCGCAAGTAGCAATTCCGTGACTTGCGGATCGGCTAAAATTCGAAACAGGCCAAGGTCCACAAGTGGCACGCACCTCCTTGACTTGCGAAGGTGCCAATTTTTGGCAGGAATCTCTACTTTATAAAATATTCTTGGAAAAGATTTTCTTGGATGGCATCAACAATTAAGCCCATCCAACTACCAAAAATCAAGTTAGGTACGTGAGAGTTACCTTGTTACTTTTCTATATAAAAGGTAGGTTGGGGGACCATATGTCCACATTTCTCGCAAGTAAAAACTCTCTGCAATATGAATAGCTTCCTGTGCACATGTAACCGATCCGCAAGATTCAAGAACTCGATCCTTTTAATGACGACTCGAATAAGTTTTCCCCATCCCTTGTAAGTTTTAAGATACCATAGTTAACATGTTATACAAACCTTTTTTTAACGATTACATGTTTTATTTTATGAATATGTATTTGGAGTAACAATTGTTTACTTATACCTTCTCGTATTGATTGACAAGGGTACGGTTTAAAGACTGTTTTTGGATAGAAACACAATCGATAGATGAAGAACAATCCACAAGTTGCGGTAAGTCCCCAAATTGTAGACTGTTCTTCAGCCATCGGCTGTGTTCCTATCCACAAGTTACAATTTTGGTCCTTGTAATTACTGTAACTATATAGATTTGGTCCTATCCTCATATTAGTGTTTTTCATGTATATTTTATTTATTTGAACAATTTTTGTATTTAGAGTAATTTATAGATGTGGTCCGCATATTTAGAGTAATTTTTACTTTTGGTTCCTATGTTTAGAGAAATTATAGATTTGGTCATTGTGTTTAGATGTATGTTTTATGTTTGTGATGATTTATCTAACTTAGAGTAAGTTACATATTTTCCCCTGTAACTAAATTATAATTGGTCTTTGTACTTAGAGTAGTTATAGATTTTGGTTCCTATACTTAGGGTAATTACAGATTTAATCTTATACTTAAACTAATTTACAAATATGATCTTGTATTTAGTGTAGTTTAATTTACAGATTTATCCATATATTTAAAATACATGCTATAGAATTGAAAATTTAATCAATGTTCAACTGAATTTGAGAGAGCTCATCTTGATAAAGTTTTTTCCAATTGCCAATGACTATCTTTGAACACGAAGGGGGAGATTGGAAGTCATATCTTAAGTGTTAATTCAAAGATCTTCTAAGTGATGTAATATGAATATAAGGATCAGATATCTAAAGATGAAGGTTCAGAGTTTGTTGAGCAGAATTTGACCAAGGATGATAGATATGAAGAAAAAGACTCAGAGATTGTCAAGAAGTCTGATATTCTATTCAAACTTTAATACTTCAATGTTACTCTTCAGATCAAGTACAAAGGACTTTGGGGATATTAGAACGTGTCTCAAGCTTATTTGTTTGTATCTCACAGTCACATATTTGTACAATTTTCTTTTGTACAATATAAATTCTTTCTAGAAAGTCTGTTAGAGTAAGCTTTTAGACAGTTAATCAATTCTATTGCATTGGATATTCTCTCTCTAAGATTCTCTTTGTAACCAGTTGATAATCAATGACATATGACTTCCTATCCCCAATATGTGTTCATTTTTTTATTTATATATGTTCTTATGATCTAAGTGCTTACATCAAGGGGGGATATATACTATTCATTCTTGATGATATACTTATGATTTGAGCTTAATCTGAGGGAGAGCTAATCTTGACAAAGCTAACTCTGATTCTAATACTGAGTGAGAAGTATACTTATAGCTAAGTGTTCATATCTAAGAAGCATACTCATTAGTTGTAGCTAACCTTGTTTTCACACCTGATGTAGGTTCACCAATAACATTATGTAAAGGGTGATATTTGGTCTATTATGTTGATAGATGGAAGGGTTGATAGTCAACTTGTTCATTATGAATATCATCATCATTTGAAAATTGAGATTTAATTTTTGAATGTTCTTCTTGATGCTCACCCTCGGATGTAGTTATATCTTGATGATGAGTTATCTCTGGTTGCGAAGAGTCATATATTTGACTAGGTAAACAAGATTTCTAACTATATTGATTAGAATTTTGTTTCAACTGATCAAAAGTATGATTTACTTATCCAGAGATATTGTTACTTGGATTTGAGGAAGATGAATCAAGAGTTTCAGAAAGACTAGATCTTTTTGACACTTCAACACATGGTTCTTCTGGTTATGATACTTCAGATTCTTTTATTGGCCTTTGTACTTGATAATCTGAAATATAACCCACAGAATGATCAAATAGGTTCTGGAATAATAAACTGAGTCTTTGTACTTCATCAATATTTTTGTCAAATTTTCCTAGATTGTCTCTGTCATTTAACACATAATACCTGTAAACAGAAACATGTAAAAACTCTATATTAGGCTTCCTATGATTGATAATTCAATAAGGAGTTTTCTGAAGCCTTTGGATGATAATGGATCTGTTATGGGTAAAGCAGGCAGTTGAAATTGCTTCGGCCCACAAAAATGTTGGTAGGTTATAATATACCAGCATTGTTCTAGTTTCTTCAACGATAGTTATGTTTCTTCTTTCAATCATACCATTTTGCTAAAGAGTTCTAACAGCTGGGAAATTATGAGAGATACCCACTGAGCTTAAATAAGTGTGCATAGTCTCATTCTTGAATTCTGTTTCTGCATATTTAGTTGTAGGAACACTTTTATCTTCTTCATAAAAGCAATGATTATTTCTGGAGCATCTGCCTTTGATCTTAGAAAACATATGTACCTTGAGTATTCATCCACAATCATAAGTATATACTTCTTGCCATTGATACTCTGCACTCTCATAGGACCACATAAATTAGTATGTAGAAGTTTTAGAAGGGCTTTGTAAGATGATTCTAACTTTTCCTTATGTGTTCTTATTTTAATTTACCAATCTCACATGCATAGCACAAATAATCTTTTTCAAATCTCAATTCAGGCAATCATACCACTAAATCATTTCTGGTTCACTTGTTGACGGTTCTAAGGTTTAGATGTGATAACTTTTTGTGTAAAATCTAGCTTTCTACTTTGGCTTATGTATAACAGATTATGCTTTAATCTTTCCATATAAACAACCTTCATAATTGTAACTCTTCCATTGTTAACCATGATATGTCTTTTGATGTATCCTATTCTTTTATTCCCAAAAGTAACTATCCCTCCAGACTTTTCTCTAAATTTGGCTTCTTATTCTAGTCATGTGTCTTGAACATCCTGAGTCTAGGTACCTCACATGACTTTCCTGCCAAGACGATCAAAGAAATTTAGGCACCCATTGTTTAATAGGTCATTTGTGGTTAGTTGTGACATCCGGCAAAGTTTCAGCTCTCAGGTTAGCACCCGATAAGCACTTATTAGTATTATTTTAGTGAAAATCCTTTGTTAGAATCTATTTAGATTGAATTAGGCAAGAGTCTGTTAAAAATTCCGGCAGTAGCGTAGAAATCCCAAAAACTACTTAGAAAGTCCGGTTTCGGCCCGTAACTGACTGAAACACCTTATATAATGCCAAACTACATAAATTAATATTTAATATATATAAAATATGGAGTTTATATTTCTACAAATAAAATTTATTTTATTTAAATATTTAAGCTAATTTAGAGTGCGTTTTAGGAGAAAACGTCTTACGCGATAAAACGGTTTTCGTATCTGATAACTTGTGGGCTTTTTTTTTTAAATAATAAAAATAAAATGAGGGCCCATTTAGGGGCCGGCCACCCCCATCACACACACATGCATAACATTAATTTTTTTTCATTTTCAAAATCATTCTTCATTTCTCTAGAAAGAAACCATCCATATTTCTATCTCTCTCTCTCTCTCTAAGCTTAAATCACATTCATTCTTTTCTTCAAGAACACAGCAGATTCCAGCCCCTTTTTCATCCAATAAAATCGAATTGTGAAGTATCAAGTGTTCATCATCATACAATTAGAGGTATAATTATATCTTTGCATTTTTGAGTCATTTGGAGCACTTTTAGTGCCTTTTCTTGATGTTTTTCCACACTTATTTACATTGCAAGTAAAATGATACATTCTTGATGTTCTTGAAGTAAGATTGAACACCTAAAGATATGAAAAATATCCATAAGTGGTGAAAATCTAGGAACTTCCATCAAAGAACACAAGAAATTGTGAAAAATCATCCAAAAATGGATGTTTTTGCATCAAAAATCCGAATATGAATTTGGGGGTCTTTGCATGCATAATTATTCCCAAATTTTGGGTGTTTTCTTCTGTCATTTATGTTATGTGGTGGTGAGAATAAGCCTTTGCAAAAGAAACCACCATTTTTGTGTATTTGAGTGCTCAAAAGTTTGGTTTTGATTAGAAAATGTATTCTGGTTGCTGTCAGAATTTTAAGTCTGACTTTGGACGACCATAACTCGGTCTAAACAAGTCCAAAATCTTTAATTTTTCTTTTGAGAATCATATTCATTGAGTTAGATTTTTGTTCCAACTGGATTCATAAGAAAACATTGAGGTTTGACCCCTCAACTCTTATGAACAAAATTCGTGTGCATCTGTCTGTGGTCAGGATTTTTTAGTTAACTTGTTGCATGCATATCTCTTGGTAAAATTAGCAAAAATACTTGATTTTTCTTTTGAAACTCAAGTTTAATGGGTTCTTTTTCTGTAGCATTCAGAATCATCCAAATATTTTGAGTTTTAAGGGTGCAAGCATCAAAAACAAAAAGATTGCGCAATCTGTCCAGCAATGGTAGATTCATACATGCTTGTTTAGATGGCCATCTCTCTCTCAAAAATGGTTGGATTTAAGTGATTTTTATCTCATTTGTTAGTGTTATGGGTTAGCTTTAAAACCCCATTGGAATTTCTAAAAATGGTGAATATTAAAACCTCCAAATGAATGCATTATTGAATGTATGTAATCTGTTATTGGTACTGTGTACCATTATTTTGTAAAATTCATTTGGATGATTTAAGCAATTCAAAATGTTATGAATTTTGGTCAGAATAGTCTTAACTCTCTAAACTTCAGTAGATAAAAATTTAATAAACTTTGTCTTTTTGGAAGATACCCAAATATGACCTTTTTTTGGACTTAGAATTTTGGCAGAAACTGTGTTATGCCCAAAAAGTTGATTTTTTTTAAACTTTTTAAGTCTCATATATATATATATATATATATATATATATATATGTATGTACTTATAAAGTATTGAAACTTATTTTTTTTAATAAAAACTTGCTTATGAAAACCATTATGTTAGCATTATATAAGATGTGGATGTAGAGTTAGGCTTGGCCATAAGAATTAGCATTTAGGACTTATAAGCTTGATGTTTTCTATAGGGCACTTATAACCATCGGACCAAGATTCAAGTTATCGCCGTATTTTGTGACAACAGTCAAATTCGAAATCCCAGGTTAGCTTTTATTAAGATTATATTAGTGTTATTGAAGTTAATTTATAGATTAGAAATTAGTTAGGTTAGTTTAGTCGAAAATTTTTAAGAATTTCCGGCAGTTGCTTAGAAAGTCCGGTTTCGACTCGAAATTATCTGAAACGTCCTATACAGTACCAAATGCTCTAATTTATACCTAATATATATAAGTGTTTTAAATATAAAACCTTTCTATTTAAATAAATTTAGTCATCGTGGGCTTTTAGAGTGAAGAAAAATGTAAAAATTAAGAAATTGGGCTTTTGTGCATTATTGGTTTGGTTTTTAAAAAAAAAAATTGTATGAGGGTGGGCTTGGGCTCTTTATGGCCGGCCCCTCCCCTCTCATTTCTCTCCTTCCATATATAAATTACATCAATTCCCTTTAATCCTCATAATTCCCTTATTCAAAATTCAAAACTCTTTCATCTCTCTCACTAGAAAACCCAAGAGTCACTTTGAAGACCATCATCTTCTCCATCTCATTTCAGCCGAATTTTCTTAATATCTTCATCATTTTGGCAAGACTTTGAAGTTACAACAATTCTCTCATGCAATATCAAGGTAATGCATTCATCCTTATACTTTTTCTTGTATGTTTTGGGTAGAAAAACCCACTTTATTGCATTCTTTATCTTCTATTCTTCATGTTTCGAAAATCTTGAGTTTCAAGGTGAGATTATACACCAAAAACATGTAAAAGTGTTTATTTGATTGTGGTAATCCATGACCCAAACGTTATAACTCAAATAGATAGGAAGAAATCATGATTTTATGTGGTTTATTTCATAAAAACTTCATATTTGGTGCTGACAGATTTTGTGTATGTGCACAAAATCGTCCATATCTTTTAAATGGCTTGTTCAAATGTTATGAGGTTTCTTTTAAAAGTTTATTTACTGAGTTGGGGTTGCAATGCATTTGGTCTCACTCAAAATCATTGAGCTTTGACCCCCCAAATGCTCAAAACGTTATATCTATGCATATGAGATTTTCTAGTAGGTAAACCCTAATTTGAATGGTCATAACTTTCTGATAATCATCCAAAATTGTTGATTTTTCTTCTGGATGTTAATTTAATGAGATACCTTTCAAATGCCACCGATTTCACTCGATATGATGGTGATTTGAGGTTTCATTTACTTAAAATAAGATGAACATGCAATCTGTCTGATTTTGATAGATTTGTATATGTGTGTTCCATCGATCATATCTCTCTCTTAACTCAATGAAAAAGGATGATTCTTCTTTTGAGAGTTAACTTTATGTATTGTTTCCTACAACCAAGTGGAATCACATAAAATTATGGAGTTTTGATCTCCAAACACCTAAAACTCTATAGGTGTGTAAACTGTGAGACCACCAGTAGGTAACTTCTAATTTGTATGCTAGTATCTTTTTCCTTGTTTGTCCTTAATGTATGATTATTCTTCTAAAACTTTCTTTTATGAGTTAGAATTCATTTTAATCCAGTCTCACTCAAAAATATGATGTTTTGAGGCATGAACCGATTTTTATAAGTTAGGTGTGCAATCTGTCAATTGATGGCAGATGTGTGCATGTGACTTTAAGGTGTCATATCCTCCTCTCAACTCATCCAAAATGACTAATTCTTAGTAAGTGTTAGGTTTCCAATCCAACTTGAATATTTGCAGAACATCAAGTAGAACTCTTTCTATGAGTGTTTTACTAACATGGTGCAATCTACCATTTCAGTTGTGATAAGTCGCATTGCATGAATTATTTGAAGCATCATCTCTTACCCAATCTTCATGAAATTTGGTCACGATGGCTATAACTCAGTACTATAAACCATATAAAAATATGGGAATTTATCTCATTCTTGAAGTCTCTTTATTGGATCATCTTTTGTAACTTAAGTTTCTGTC